CCGTACAGTTCAGTGATAGGCTTTTCGACCATGTCAGGCGATTCTAAGATGACTGATCTGCTCCTATATGTTTGAGACCCTCTTCACTTGCTAAAAATTCTCTTCTTACGTATGGATCTGTTTGGTCATTTGTTTTCTCATTTATTTATCACTGCTATCACAAAGATTGAAAATTTTATGTTGTCCCTGTGTCGTAGATCATTTTGTTTGACGTGTGATTTGCAAATTTCTCAGACTATTCTCAAATTTACAATCTTGAGAAGGAATCGCAAGAGCCCGCAGACTACTCAAGTGTAAGATTTTGTTTGTAGTTAGCTTAATAATGTCTTCTTACTTGTGAGTTGTGACTCTCAGCGAGCTTTCTTTTTATTCCTAACTAATCAAAAAAGCATTTCCATGTTTGATTTCTCTGCTTCAGCTATGTTTTTTATCACGATGTTTGAGGAAGTACGTGAATGCAAATGTCTGGATGTTCGATTATCTTTCTCTCACTGTTCTCATGGAGATTCATGTAAGCTCTTCTTTCAAGCTGGTATTTCAAACGTATTTTTTTTAACAACACCGTTTAACTTCATCATTTCTTTCAGTTTCAGTTTTTTTTTTTTTTTTTGCGTGGATTACATTTTCCGCATATTCTTGTGCTGAAAGCAGTGATGGAATGACCGAGAGCACAAGGATGTAAAATGCAGTTACCTGCCTACATTGGGGGTAAGCGTTGAGAGTGAAATGACGAACCGTGGAGCAACAAGTTTTAGAGGTATGTAATTTACTAAAACACAAAGCAACACTTTGGTCTTAGTTGATTTTCTCGAGTAATGTATTTTTCAAGCTTTTCTCTGACTGAATTTCATGTTTTGCAATCCAATTCTGTTTTAGAATCTTCTGGGGAAGCACGACCCGATGGAAACAATAAGTCATGACGGAGTGCATGAGTCTCAAAGTTTGTTAATTCGTCTTTTTTTTTTTGTATTCCATTGAACCTAGACTTATGATACCTAGACAAACCTCATGTTGCAATCGTTTTGGTAATTTTGTGGAAGCTAAATTCGAAGAAAGAGGAAGCATCTCGGTAACTGCTATCAGTACATCTTTGCTAGAGAGGTCGCAGGTTTGTGAAGATGCGTACTCTGAAAGAAACTATCATTTCTTTAAAACGTATGTGCTGCACCAGAACATGTCATATGCCGCATCTATTCTTTGGCGTTGTAAGGTTGGATTAAGAGAGCATGTATGCGCTGGATATGCTTGATAATTCCAAGGAATACGTAGATACAGGGATAGGTATGTACGTTGTTGAGATCTGATTCTGAAGCTCAGGTGCTTTCCTTTTAAATTGGTTATTACCGCCCTTAGACATAAGAATAATTCTACTTACATTTTACATTTGCAGGATGTAATCTTTCGTGTAGTCTTTCCCTTTTGAATCTAATTTAACATTGGCATGTAGTAACAACGTTCTAAATAATATTATAGTAGTCTATTAAATATAGCAATTGGCTGAGACGGTTAATCAAATATAGCTAGCAATTCTCTTAAATAGATTTTGAACACAAAATCAGGAATCCATAGAAGAGAGAACACGAAATGATGTTACTGGCTCCTTTTATTGGTTATTATAGTGACATGCCAACTTTATAGAAGAAACGATGGAGAAATGAAAAACTCAGTTGTTATAATGAAAAAGTAAAATAGAGAAACTTGGGTGTGAGAGCAATCTTATTAATAGGGAATTCGTCGGTTAATATAGTAATAAATTATTGATTAAGGAATCTTGAGTTTTTGTAATTCATTTTATAAATAAGTGAAGGCAAATTTATGTTTAAAGGAGATTTATATAGTTAATTATCAATTAGTGTATTTTGTCAAATTTTATAATAAAAAAATTTAGTGTATTTTTTTCAAATCTTACACATAATTTTGCATGCCGATTTTCTCTGAATTCCTTATGTGCTACTCTCTTTCATTTTAACACGGAGAATAAGCAAGTGTCTATGAAAATTAGGTTATCACTTTTTCATACTAAAATACTAAATAAGCTAAACTAATATTACATTATTCTTTCTTTTATACTATACTTTTTCTGTACTACACTTAAAACACATTTAAATTGGGGAAGGGAAAACTTATCAGCAACTCAGTTATATGTTTGTTTTCAAATAATACATATATTATCCTTCTGATTCTAGATAACTTTTCAGAACTCTCATTCAAAAAATATATGAGATGAACTAGGGAATAATGATTCACACAGTATATATAAATATTCTTCAAAATAAAAAAAAAATATTAACAAAATTCAGAACTAAAAAAAATAGAGACACAAAAGCACAACTGAAAAAGCGTTGAGGGTAGAAATGGTCTATATATATTACCAAAACTTACAATCTAAATAATTAAATTTTCAGATCAATTTTTTTCATAATTAACCGACAAACCACTAGTTTATATAGAAAGAAGCATTTTCTTATTCATTAGAGTGACATGTCACTAATTGAGCAATTGTTTTCATGACACTTAGCAGACTCTTAAACAATGTGTTTTGGTATGTGGTTTCTATTGGGGTTTTAGGGAAAATCTCCAAAATAGCACATTTCTAAGTTTACTTCACAAAAATAGCACTCAAAAACGAAAATAACCAAAATAGCATTTTATCTTTTGAAATTTTTTTAAAAATTTATTTTTCAAAAATTGAAATCTTATCCCCAAAACTCCACTCCCCAACTCTAAACCCTAAAACCTAAATTCTAAACCCAAAACCCTAAACTCTAAACCCTAAACCCTAAATCCTAAATCCCACCCCTTAACTCTAAACCCTAATATCTAAATTAATTTATCATTGGGACATAGGTGTATATTTCTCTCTCTTGATAAAACATTAAGTGCTATTTTGGTCATTTTTATTCTTAAGTACTATATTTGTGACAAAAACTTTTTTAGTGCTATCCTAGTCATTTTTATCGGGTTTTTATGGCCTTAATTATGATAGCTCGGCCTGGTCACCGCACATCCTAAGCCACTCACCAGAACTTGGGTTAGCCGTCCTCTACCTTCGTTGATGTCGAGATCAATCTTCAGAAGTTTCCATGGCGTGTAAATATTCAGACTTTTTGTTCTGTATGTTGATTGTTTTCCAGTTTCCGACCAAGATTAATACTTTTCTCATCGTCGTATGTGTCACTGTTACAGTCGATGATTATGCAAGCCACCATCAATGCTAATCATGTTCCCACTTTCTGGTCAAGACTGATAATAGGACTTTTCAAGGCTCCTTAATCAAATGATGTAGTATAAGAGATGTCGAACCAGTTCTAAGTGATCCTAAAGCAAAGGGAATGCAAGACCATGCTCAATCTAAATGCAACCAATTAATGAGATGATATTGAATTAGAATACTACTAAAATTCAATAAGGGATGATCTTTCTTTCTCAAAATGAAGCAATAGGACTCACGGGACTAGAAATTTGATCTTGGGTGATGTAGATCCAATCTAAAGATGGCAAGCTAGCAATCATACACTTACCTTATGCCTAGACACAATCCTAAACAAGCTTTATCTCTAGATAAATGTTCTTTTACTAAAGCAACTCAAGCATCTAATCTCTTACTAAAGCAACTCAAGCATCTAATCTCTTAGGTTGAATATTACTAAAGCAAACATGGAGAACAAGTCTAATGGCAATCTTAACTTCTTTAACAACTAATCTCTTAGGTAAAGCAAGTTAAAAGCATTGAAGAGTTGGTTCAGACATTTCATCATACACCTTGTGGGCAGGAAATGCCTAGAGATCCATTTTAGTATGATCAAGACTAAAATGGCATTGAGAACCCTCAACAAGCAAGGAAACAATTAAATCTAACACTAAACATCCTAGATCTTCTATAATCACCCTTAATCACTCTAGCCCATGAATCCAAAAGGAGTCTACTCACTAATCTTCATGATTAACCTTAAACTCATGGTTGATTTAAGAGAAATCATGTTGAGAAGCAAGTTTAATCAAACAACCACAAAGAAATAAGAAGAAAAGAAACTAAAGATTCAATCCTTCTTCAAGGTTTGAATGTGTTCTTAGAGAGAAAAGAAGATAATCTCTGAAATTAGGTTTACAAAGTATTTTTAGAAGCTGGAAAAATGAGGGTACAATGGTAAATATGTCTGGTCAAACTTGTATATTGACTTTCTGAACGCTCGCAGCTGTTTGTTGAACCAGCTCCACAAGGCAGCTGTGGCGTTCAGCTGTTTCCCACCTTCGTCTCATGGCCGCTGCATAGTCCATAAATTGGACAGGGACTTGGGTTATTTCCCAGCTGTTTGTGGCCACAACGACTGCTCGAAACAGCTCTATCTGACCTCTGGGACACTTGAAACTCCATGAAATCCCTCCAAAACATCAATCTTGCCTCCAAAACATCCATCTTGCCTCCAAAGTCACCACTTGGCATCTTCATCACCTAATAAGGAAATATGAAATAGAATGCAACCTAAACATATCTAAATGCTATACTAAATGATCAAAAAGTGCAAGAATGGATGATTAAAACAATTCAAATATGCAAGATATCAAAGACTCACCGCCGGCTCGATGTTCTCCGCTTCTGGTTTAGATGTGTGTCGATGTGCCCAAAACTTCAGGCTTACTGACTCAAACCTAATGATTCGGTTTAGCGACTCAACCCGGTTCGAAGAGATAACCGAATCGGTCTCACCATTGCCTGCAGAGGGGTTCCGGTTTCGTAACCAAGCCGAGCTAATTGAATAGGCTAACACAAGTTCTCAGCTTCCAGGTATATATAATGTCTCAGTTCATTAATTTATTCTGAGAAAATATGCGTATTAGACTTCCTTTGTCGACGTCATAGGCAAGCTCACATCTGTGAACGATCCTACGGAGAGGAAAAACCATGTCATGGTGACTATAAAGCTGGAAAAATAAAACTTCATGTTTCCGATATCTGCCTTACACCATACGCCTACTCATTGGTTTTTGCATATGATGAAATGCTGTGTTTTTTTTAATAAAACAGTGATGTGTCTGTTACATTGAGCCTGTTCGATGCTCAAGCTGTGGCTTTCCACAACAGACTCGAAGAAATGCGTGTTGACCGAAGAATGGTTGCTGCTACGAGTATTAATACTAAGATGGTTGGAGGTATTATGTCGTATCAGTATATTACGTGATCTACTAAACTACTCCTTAACCATGAGGAGAATAACAATCTAACTATCTTTATGTAGGACGTTTGTTCCGTAATGCTATCTCAGGGACCCACATTCACTTCGACAAGGGAACAACAGCTGGAGAAGTCTATTTCTACAGGTAAGATATTTGTAAAGTATAAAATATGTGCAGTCACATATGGTTTTGCTCACATTTCATCTCTTTAATTATAGGCTGGTCGCAAGGGACACTGGACTTCCCCCTGCAGCCCCTCTTCTGAGAGGATATGCTAAGGTGGAGGCCATCACCGTATCTGAGCTCAATAGTTTTATCATAACTGCTCCATCTCAGGTATAACTACTATAGTCTTTGTACTTTTCACATCTCTGGTGAAAACACATACAGTGAACATTCTATGTTATTGGTAGGATATTGATTTCATATGCACTGGGCATGTAACTCGCATTGACGTTAACAAAGGGTGGTGTTACATTGCGTGCTCTAACTGCAGCAAAAAAGCTGGAACGCACCGTCACCTCTTTCACCTGTAGGACGTGTGACAATTCCCATGCTGTTGGCTCTCTTCGGTATGTAGCACCTAACCATCACATTTCCTTCCTTTCCATATGTCTGCATACAACTAACGATAGTTTGTTTGTGATGTGTGGGTGTTTTCCTTTAGCTATCGTGTTGAGATGTCCATATCAGATGCTAATGGAGAAAATGTGTTTGTTTGCTTTGATGGTGTGATGACAAAGTTGCATAACCTCAAAGCAAGCGATGCTGCTGAAATGCTGGTAAGAGCCACCTATACTTCCACGTCCCTGGTCAAATCATATTCCTCCCCTAACTATCAAAGTTTCCTTTGTTCAAAAGGCTGCAGACGGTGTAAACCCAGAAGAGACACAGCTGCCTCCGTTCATTGGAGATATGGAAGGGAAGACATACACTTTCCAAGGCAGGGTCAGTGCGTATAACTTCACGCCTAACCATAAGACATTCACTATCACACGTATCATCGATGAGCGTGACCGTGTTCCAAACCCTGACTTCAGCGACAATGTATGTGGAGTTATTTTAAATTTCACTTATAGAATGTCTATGATATGAATATAAACTAAATGTCCCAGGGAGGCAACAATGATGACAGGAACGACAACACAGATGGCAGACCAGTCTCAGTTAGTATGGAGATTGGAGGGAGCATTGGCAAAGCGACCCCTAATGCTGCTGCAACTCTCACTAATGTTGAGCCAGAACAGTTGGGAAGCTCAAGTCTGGAGGTGGTGGAGAAGGCGCGTATCGCTTTGTTTTGGAGTTTGAGGATCAGTCTCTGCTTCTCTTTTTCTTTGTACTACTAATGCATCGTTTTCCTTTTTTTTATAGTCCATCTCCATGTCGTTTCCAACGACTGGTGTGGTGTATCGTTGTTTAAACACGTTTGGGTTACTTATATAAGAAGTCCCTTTGGTCCTATAATAGAAACTTTCAAGTTTACATATATTAAAAATGTCCCTTCTGTCATATAATAAAAACGTTTCGAGCTCTCAAATGCGTCAAGTTTTGTTAAACAAATTTGATTTGTAAACCATCACGAGTTTTGCAAGCTTTGGGTCTGGGTGTGGTTTTACGAAAATTATCAAAAGTTTAAACTTGGGTGTGGTTGTAAGAAGATTCTTTCCAGCAGTAGGTGGAACCGCAGGGAGATGTATTAGATTCTGAAACACGATAAATTGGCATCAGTTAAATAGCATTGGCACTGGAAGCCAAGTCTTTAATCTAGCGTGGAGAAAGAATCTCAATGAGATAGTGAAAACATACGGGTATACTCAATACACTCAAAACCAAACACATGTTGGGAATTGATGGGTATTAACGTATATGATCTCAGTGAATTTACTCAATTAAGAGGTGGCACCTAATTAATAATGTAACTAAAACAACAGACTAAAACTAGAAAATGATCGCACTAGCAACATTTATTGTTCTGAACAAAAGAATACAAAATCATAAGATATATATATAAAGATTGAAGAACGGAACACCTCGGAAAGAGATGAAGGATTTTCAACTATTGATCGTTCCAAGAGAGGCTAATAGAGGAGCATCCTTCATTGCTCAAAGTGTTATAAGAGAGGGAGGGCATCACTCATATTTTGCGTCAGGTCCCCCTTCCTGGCTTTTCGAATTCTTTGTTATTGAGAGTCGCTTCCTGTGATGTGGCTATATGATGCTAGCTTGAAAGGGTGGGCTGGTACTTGTGTTTCTTCATTTTGTGGTTTGTGGAGTTAGTTATGGAGGGCAGTTCGAATCTCCTTTGGAGTTGAGAGAGAAGTGTTTTTTCCTCTCTTGGTTTGTAATATATAATGAAATCAGAGTTAAAAAAAAAAACATTTCTACAAAAAGGCTCTCTAATTGATTTAGACACAAGTTATAATAATTGTATGAGTACATGATATTATTAAGTATTCACAACTGTACTCCAAACCAAATTTAGTGATCTCAGAAGTAAGGAAAAACAAACAAAAAGAAATACCAAACAATGGCTCTAACGTTAGATCGACCAACTAACTTCAAATATATTCAAGACTTTCAGTATAAGTTTATTCGTGTGTTCGGTTCATAGTCTTAGGGCCTGACTTGTTACAACACAGCGATTACGGTTGCGAATGCGGTTGCGATTGCGGGCTTTTTCGGATGCAGGAGATTGCGGTTTTAAGCGTGAGTAAGAGATTTAGACGACTGGTTCAAAGATTAGAAATTGTTGCGTTGGCGGGATACTTATGACAAGTTTATATCAAATACAGCAGCGGTAAGTAATAAATTAACAATATTTATATTTTAATTAATTATCAAAATATTAAGAACATATTTTCATAATAAGGGCCTGCCTGGTTACAACGCAACGATTGTGGTTGCGATTGCGGGCGTTTGCGGATGCGGGAGATAGCGGTATTAAGCGTTAGTAAGAGATTTAGACGACTGGTTCCATGGTTAGATATTGTTACATTGGCGGGATACTTATGACTGGTTTATTATCAAATACAGCAGCGGTTAAGTAATAAATTAACAATATTTTTATTTTATATAATTATAAAATATTAAAATCATATTTTCATAATAAATATAAAAAAATTTATTGATAAAACTGTACTATTAAATTTTTAAAAAATTAAATAATTTTTTGGAACTTTTATAGTATAAATATTTTTTTATTTCAATTATTTTAATTTAAAGTTATAATTGAGTATTTTAGTTTTATATTTATATAGTTTTTTGGAAAAAAATATTTTTTTCATCTTCCTGCAATCACCCGCAATCGCAAACGCTAGTTGAAACCAGCTTTTGAATTTTAGAGATTCAAAACGCTTTGAAACGGTTTATAGTGTTTTCTATGATTGTTTCAAAACGCCAATAGCCGCTACCAACCGCAAAAGCTTCGTTTGCGGGTAATGGCGGGAGAACCAGTCAAGCCTTTAGTTTTGTTTGTAAAATTCAAAATAACTATCACGAATTCTTAATGGCTTTCGGGAAGAGAGGGGTTTCTGTTGGATGTATCTTTTAAGCGGAGGATGGTGGAGATTCGATGGATCTTGGGGGATTTCTCTTTGACTTACATCAGTTCGTCTCAAGATATAAGGGATCTCAATATCAAGATCTGGGATCATGAGAGGCGATGCGGTATGATTCAAAATTGGATTTGGAGGATTCAGTCCTCTTTCTACAGATCGAGATTTGCTTTTATTGGCACTGGTATGAAAGGTAATAGTAGTCTTGGAATGGATCCTCGAATATTTGATTGGGTTGTGCCTAGAATAATTGTGATATCAATTTCTCGATGCCATATCTTTAATTATGTTTTTGGAATATGCATTAAGTTTGAGTATCTTCAGAACTTATACCTCCGATTTTTGGAATATGGGGCTATGATAGTACTTAAAGGGACTTTACGGCAGAGTAAACTTACATCACATCACTCAAATCTTGTTTACTTTTATCCTTGTACTGAAACTTCCTCGTGTTTTCTTGTTTGTTTTTTAAAGGGGATATGATAGTATTTAAAGGGACTTTACGGCAGTGTAAACTTACATCACAGCACTCAAATCTTTTTACTTTTATCCTTGTACTGAAACTTCCTCGTTTTTCTTGTTTGTTTTTTTCCCGGTAACAACGACACAAGGTCAATGGATGGTGCAAACGGGGGGGGGGGGAAGAAGGTTGAGATGGCTAAGCCAAGAATGAAGATCTCGGTCCCTCGCTTTGATAACACTGAGCTTATTTCTCGGTATGCTAATACTTTGATTGGGCGATGCATGAACCCCTCTAAGCAGGATATGAAGATCCTCTTGTTCATGCTCCCTAGAATCTGGAAAGTAGAAGGGTGTGTCACTGGATCTGATCTGGCGTTGGGGTGGTTCCAGTTCGATTTCGTGGAGGAAGAAGATATCCTCAAGGTGCTCAAAATGGAACCTTTCCACTTTGACTATTGAATGGTCTCGTTGGTTCGGTGGAAGCCAGCACTAGATGTTAATTATTCGTCTAAGATCACCTTCTGGGTTCACATTCTCGACGTCCCTCTTGAATTCTGGGCTACATCAACATTTGAGAGCATTGGAGGAGCTCTTGGTCAAGTTTATGGAGAGGTTGATTTGATGGAAGGAAGAGTCAGAGTTGAAGTGGATGGCTACAAACCCCTGGTGTTTTCTATGGAGGTTGACTTTGATGAAGATGTGGAACTGCTGATCTCTTTAAAGTATGAGAAGTTATTTGGTTTTTTGTAGGCACTGCTTCTGCCTAACCCATGATACATCGAGGTGTCCAAGCCTGGTTCCTGTGGTGGAAGAGGGCCCTGTGATGATGGGGAAAAAATCAGACCAGGGATCACAAGCTACGAGTTATAAAGCAACGGTTGCAAATGGGAAGGTGGCTGGTGAGGATCATCGAGAGGAACAACAAGTGATGTCAAAGGTGATGAAAGATGGTCATAAAGGTAAGAGTATTGTTCGTGACAAGCAAGGATATTTCTGTCAGGATGGAGCATACCAAGCCTATCCGGAGAGGTTCGCAAGGGGTAATGGAGAAGGATCTTCACGGGGTGGAAGGCATTACCGCTACGGGGCTCCTAGAGAGCACAATGATAGGGTTGCTATTAACTCTAGGGCTTTGAAAAACCTACAGAGGTGGGGCAGAACCTCTCTAACCCTTTAGAAATTAATGTTGGATGCTTTTAAAGGGATAAATCAAGAGACTAAGGTGAATCAGGAGAATCAAAAGACTGAGGTGGAGATTGAGAGTCATTCAAAGGCTCGTAAGTCTCTCCAGTTTGGTGAGGAACCTAATGAAGTGGGATTAGATGTTTCATCCAAAGAAAATCATCCCAGGTTGGGAGGCAAGATGCAAGATGGGGAAGACGAGGTGAAGGAGGATACTGAGATTGGGGACCAGGCTCCTCATTCGGCTCTGAATGGTGCGAATATGATGATTGAGGGAATGCTTCTATCGGACTCAGAGCTCCTTGATGAAGAATGGGAAGATGGCGAGGTCCCAGCGTTTATGGAGGATGAGGAGTTGATTATTAATTATGGAGGTGGAGTAGAGATGGATGAGACGGTGGTTATTTCCAACTCTAGTATGATGGAGGATACAATTAATAAGGTTCTGAAGAAGAAGGGTTTGAAGACAGGGGTATTTGGAGGAACAACAAAAAAACGTCTGGTGTAGAGTATACTCTCCCCCAGGAAGAACAAGATCTTGAAGGTACCAGTGAAAAATGGTGAAAAGGGTAATGGTGATGGTAAGAAGGCCAACGGTAAACCTAAAGATGGGGCTGCATAAGATGGACGGTTTTTGGGTGGTGTAGAAGGCTTTTATTTTTTTCTGTTTTTTTTTGAATAATGATGGATTGTGTTATAAAATCCAGGGTTTTCATGTTTTCTTTTAGTAGTATGGCTTTGTTTATCATCAGGAAGCACTGATGTTTGGTTTGAATCTTCGGATTCTTTTTCGTTTTCATGCTTTGAATAAGAGGTTTGGGTTATGGCCTTATAATGTTGTCCCTTCGGTTTCTTTTCATTACTCTATTACTTGGCCTTAGTGTCCACAAGTTACGTAACTTGCAGATGTGGTAGCGGCTCGGAGGTATAGAGGCTTCATGTTGTTATGCTTGTCTACCCGTAGTTCTCTCGGTGATTCTGCGATTGTTCTGAGGTTTAATGGTTTACAAATGGTTTGGTATACTGAGGTTTGTTGGTTGAGTTACGGTTGCCAGAAGGTGTGTATGTGTTATATCATTTTCTTATATGTCCTTCATGTGTGGGAATGAGAATGTGACCAAGGAAGACTTAGGAACATGCAATGGGTC